GTAAGAGAATATAAGGAAATTCAAAATCTAGATATGGAAATAATATAATCGGCTGGGAAATTATCCGATTTATATCCAAACACAGTTAAATATTTGATTTTCAAGTATTCAATTTTTAAATTTTGGGTTAATTTTTAGTTTTGACCACTATCTTGGTTAAGCTATAGTTCCAATACTGATTTTAAACATGAAATAGTTTTATTTTAAGAGAATTGAAATAAAGTGTTTCGTAATAAACCCATTATAAAAATATAATTATTACAAATAAAGAGAAGATCCAAAGACAGTAAAAGAGAATATTCTGGACATGCCTTTAGCTTTAAAAGATAGTCAAAATCCAGCAATCCAGCAGAATGCATACAATGAAAACACAAAGTCTAACAATAAAAATAATAAAAAATAAAATCTAATGCATCCCCTGATGAAGGTCATTGATGAAGTTCTCACGAATATCGAATGGGCCAAAAGAGGTAGATGGCTTCCTAGAAATGAAGTTTTAAGGTAAAAATTTTTTGATTTAAATCCTTATTGCAGAGATCTCAAGCTTCTCCGGAGCATGTTTTTTTTTTGTATGGAAGAATAAATCATGAGTATATCCAATCCTATCATAAAAAAGATTTAAGAAGCTAGTGCCACAAAGGAAGGTTTCGAACATGTTCTACATAGAGTTGCAGTTAAAGTCACCCGCTGGTTGATTACCTTTCTATATCCTTGCTTGTATATTAGTTCAAATACTTATTCATCAATAAAATTTCTGGAAGACCATTTAAAAAAAAAACATATTCCAACCATTAAGTCGTAACTTAAGACCCTAACAGTAAATGATTATCAATCAAAATACATCTACACAAACACTAAAACAACCATATACACAAACATGTCCCAAAAGATGGATAAACTTCGGGAAAAATGCCATAAAAATCCTGAAGAGTACGATTTCGTTGGTTTAAATCCCGAACTTTCCAACTGTTGATTTAAATCACAAACTTTCTGTTTACTCTCTATTTAATATGAAACTTTAATTGACTTTGCCAATTTAGGCACATCGTTAAATTGCCAAACGGAGCAATTAAACGGGTTTGAATGTCTTTAACGAAATCCGTCAAATACAAAATGAAACCGTTTTTAACATAACCCAAACACTTAATCGATTCAACTTTTTCCCCAAAACACTTAACAGTGTAACTGTGTAAGAAAACATTATTACTTCTATAAAGCTAATCAAATCGGACTTGGATTCAAACGTTTAGATTTAGATTCGATCTTTCGTTTACATTCACACGAATTAACCCCCCCCCCCCAAATAGTTTTTTAATGTAACATAGTTTCCCAAAGCGGATAACTTGTTTCATATTTCAAATCACCATCCAAAACAGATGAGTATAATTCATGTTAATCCGTCATGATTAGAATCGATGTTGAGATAAACATGCTACCAAGGATGATAATTTACCTTTCTCCAAACCAAATCAGCAAATCTCCTACTTCATGAGTAACTCAATGTCCTCGCATCTCCAGAACCCATTTTCTCACCCGCAACGCAAGCATCAAACTCTTATCAGAGGGATTTGTAATCTGCAACTCCTAGCTTCTCTTCCTTGAAATCCAAATCCTTGGTACCAAAGTCACTAGATTGATCATCGAAGACATCTTTCTTCTTCTTCTTCTTTTTCTTCTTGTCCAATGTTGGGAGACGGCGTTTTAGAGAAGAGGAAAATTATATTAGGTCATTGTTATTATTATTAAATAGGTGTTTTGATTTCTTATAATTAATAATTAATGCATAATAAAACATGAATTGTTAAGCTCGATCCATTTAAAAATTTGGGCCCATTTACTATAATTTATCAGAGATGAAGAGTAAAAGCCCGTAAACAAAATCGAACATGCCTTGTTTTCCACGAGGATCGAACTCGATCTGTCACACTCCTTTTAAGACACGGGAAGACACGCGGATCTTTAGCAAACGGGTCGGATAGTTAATTTTGATATGTAAAAATTCAAAAAATTACCCATTCTAATTTCAATAAAAGCTATCCTTCACAACTAATTGAATGGCAAATTTGGAAATTTTAGTCAGTTTTTAGAGATATCAAAAGTGTACTTCTCTTTTATTATATAGGGGATTGTCTAAAAATAAAATAAAATCCAAAACAATACTTTTAATTTCCATTTATAAATAAATCATCAGAAATTATTAAAAAAAAGTACACCGAATTTTTATTAAAATAATAATCTGAACACTTCACTAACAATTTAAAGATTTTTAATTTTACTTTTTTGACAGATTCATATATTACGATAAGTTTAGATGAATTTGAATATCATCAAGACCTTGTTATATGTACATCAATTAGACATGTATGGTCCTTATAAAGAGAAAATGTTAAAACTCTCACTCTGTCCACATCTCCTAGATTAAAAATACAATTCATGGTTGGGATTCTAGGGTTTATCGCCACCATGGAAAAAATAAATAAAAAAGTGGTCTCCAACCCAAGCAAGTCCCCAAGAGAAAACATGACGGAGATCATCCTCCCAATTGATCTATTAATTGAGACATTCTCAAGATTTTCATCGTAAGACCTGCGAGGTCTCGTTGCGTGTCAAAGCTTTAGTCTTTCATACTGCGTTGTTGAGAATTCACCCAACTGTTTCTAAATATATCATCGGTTCGGCCGCGTATTTTATTCAACTTCCTATACAACGGTAAACGGATCTTTTACTCCATACCTCAAGAACTAGATTCAACCGCAACTACTCTTCTCCTATAACTCCTTATTACCAGATGCATTTCCCTAAAGGTTTGAGTTCTGGGAAGATAAGTGTCCCTCTTTACCTGGTTTGATATGTAACAAATTTAAGAAGCCGATGCTCTGTAACCCTAGCACAAGATAGTACATATCTTTACCCATAGTGACAACCAAGAGGAATCAGATTACACCCTATCTCGGGTATGATCCAATCCAAAAAGTCTTTAAGGATAATACCTTGAAGAGTTTTCGATGTGATCATACTCGAGATGGGGTTTCATCTTATTCCTCTTCGTTGTCACTAGTGGTAAACATATGTACTCTCTGTGCTAGGCTTACAAATCATCGGTTCTTAGATTTGTTATAGATCAAACTAAGTGAAGAGGGACACATATTTTCCTCAGAACCCAAACTTTAAGGGAAATGCATATGGTAATAGGGAGATATAGGAGAAGGGTAGTTGCGGTGTGGATCTAATTCTTGAGGTATGGAGTAGAACATCTGCTTACCTTTGTGTAGGAAGGTGAATAAAATATGCGGCCGAACCAATGACATGATTTTAGAAACATTTGGGTAAATTCTCGACGATGCAGTAAGGAAAACAAAAGCTTCGACATGCAACGATACCTCACAACGTCTTCAATTGAAATCTTTGAGAATATCTCAATTAAGAAATCAAATTGGAGGATAATCTCCATCCTTGGGGACTTGCTTTCGGTAGAGACTACTTTATTATGCCTTCTTCCATGGCGGCAATAAACCCTAGAATTCCAAACATGACTTGTATTTTTTATCTAGCTAGGAGATGTGGACGGAGTTAGAGTTTTAACATTATCATTTATAAGGACTACACATGCTTAATTGATGGAGATATAATGAGGTCTTGATGATATTCAAATTCATCTAATTGTATCGTAATATATGAATCTGTCAAAAAAAGATTATAAATCTTTAGATCTTCAGTGAAGATCAATGTTCAAATTATAATTTTAATGAAAAAAATCCAAAACAATAAACTGATTTTTCATTTTAATTAAAATCATTGTTCATATTATTATTTTAATGAAATTATGACGCTAAAAACCGCATACTTAAAAATAATTAATTAATTATTAAATAATAAAAAATAATATATTGAGAAAACTAATTTGACTGAATAAATATATTTACAAATATAGGAGAGAAAACATACCTAGCAATACAAAATAGGGTTATTCTACCATGAAAAGAATCAATATGTTAATAATCTGTTTCACATGGTCATACCTCCATGATTTTGAAGGTTTACAAATTTTAAATGTCCTTAATATATTTTATTATGCTTAATATCAAAATACAATATTTAATATTGCATATAAAAATTAATAGTTTACATAGGTGTTTTATTTTCTTTTGGTCTTTGTTTCGTGCAAAAATACTCTGAACAAAGAATTTTCTATAACCAACAACTCAAAATATTGTTTGTAATTGTTTCTCTGTCTTTGATTATTTGAACTTATTTTCACAAGTTGTTTTGAATAGTTTACTAGGAACATTCCAACAAATTATTTAAGTAAATTACAAGAATGGTAGATTTATCGCCACAATTACTACAACGTAGTAAGACTCGACAAAATATCTGAAAATCTAAATATAGTCTTATCAGAAAATAGGGTATCTAAAACATTGGATAAGAGTATATATATTTAAAGGTTATAATACCTCATTCTAACTTGGATTCACTTTTTACATATAA